ACACAAAGAAGTCGGTTAATAGGATGTCTGATTTGCCCATGTTTTGCCCGGCATATTGTGAGCCATTATTTTTTCGGCAAAATTTGGAGGTTGTTCGCGTGATATGCAGCAGGTGGAAACCAGTGGGGTCTCTTCGGTAGGACTAACAACATGCGAACTGGATGCTCTATTTTCGGACAATATGGCAATGGTATAAGTATCAGCGTTGTTTTTGGCTAGAGACATTGTAGGTCCTACGAAACTTGACATTCAGTGGAATAAATCTGAGCACCCTAAAACGAAATGCTGCAATTTGTTTGCTGCTTCATCAGAAACTCGTCAAAGTAGCGCAGATGACGACTTAACCCTGCTGATTGTTTCAAAAACTTATGCACTACTTTCTAGCCTTGAAGCTTTCAGCGAAAAACTATTTAGCTATATGTTGCAAGGGCGCATTTATTCTCATCTTGGACTGTCAACATCGTTTTCGTTCCAACTGCGCAATGTGTGTATCAGGCTTTTGAAAATTAAGTACAATTGCAATAACTGCTGTGGTGATGATGAAAGGCGTTGAAACCTGAACCTCGGAAGCTAAGTCGTGATCTCTACAAAGACATGACAACAGCAACGCGTTCACAATCAAGATGCCACGCTTACGTTGATGTGTTCCTTGACAAACGGACAAGCAAGCAACAGGTCTGTTGATGTTGTCGAAAATCATGCGGCAGCTTCTGATAGGTAGTTGTGGAATTTTGCAGCTCCACCTGAAACTGTTACTTCGGACAAGGTGGTGAACAGTTTGGACTGACCGCAGGCACAAATAACGCATGCGTTTCAATTTCATTTGTGTGTCATATCAGCGTCAGATGAATATTCCTGAGATGGTTCGATATCGTCCCACTACCACATTTGAACGAAGACCTATTTTCGCTTTTAGGCTTTAAAGAAATGGTACTGGAGTTTATTTCTGGATTCATTCCAAAAAGTTGTAGCGTTGAATCATGCTACTGGGATAATCGCAGCACTTTTGCGTATATCCGAAACGGTCATCGAAATTTTAAGAGGGAAAGGGGGCAGGAAGTACGGAGGCTGTGTGATATGCTCGTTCAATGGAAAGGACCCGTAGATTTCCGTATTCTACTTTAGCAATGCATCGCTTTCCCTGGTGATGGTGGGGTATAGTCAGAAAGTCTTCTGAGGTCGTCAGAAAGTGAGTTGAGTTGAGTCAGAATTATGCAAGCCATCTGCATGCACAGGTTGTCTTTCCAACAATACGGCTTGAATAATTGCATTGTAACTCAATTTACGCCCTACATGAATAGTCTTCTCTGGATATTAGTAAATGTTATCTTTTTAATTGATGCCCTTCGTCATTTGCTAATGGGATGTCATGTTTCAAGAAGGTCAAGGCCATTGCAACTTTTACACTGCGCGCGCCGAACAACACGGCTGAGAGTTTGGCAAGTGCTGCGTTACTAAATCAGGGCACAACAACTACTTATGTACCAACATATGACAAAATAGCTAAGTGAATTCTTTTGGAAAAGCAATTTGCAGTTAATCACAGAATTCATTGTTTGAATGGCTTTGATGTGCTATGAATTTCAAATGATTAACCTGATGCAAACATATGGACGGAATCTGTTTCAGACTCCAGCTGTCTTCTGCTGAAGCACAGGCTTTGGCGCAAGATCGGGAACGTTGGAAACATTGTCTGACGCGTCTGCCTCCGTGACCAAGAGGAAAAGCGGTCAAGAGAGATGGTGATAATAATGAATTTCAAATTTTCCGTCTTATTTGACAACAATCAAATAAAACGCATACGTTTAACTTTCCAAACGCTAGATTGACCCTATGCGACTAAGAGAGTCCCTCCTCATCGATCACTATTGTCGGTTTGCTAGAATCATAGCTTTCCGCCTGTTCTGTTAATTGGGTGAAAAGACTTGAGGAGTTACTGGAATCTCCCCTTTGAGGTCGTTGTCAATTTTTATAATTAGGTTCTCCAACCTATTACGAATCAAACGGTTCCGTATTCATTGAAAGGGTCGGGGATGACTGAAAAGAGCGTGATGAAATACCATGCTAAGTATACTTTGAATGGTGTACGACGATAAGGGTTGCTAATTTCGAAACTTCACCGATTACCGGTTGCAGTGCTCTGCACTATTCGTTAAGTGGATGAGAATATGTGGGGCTGCATGGCACTGCTGTAATCTCAACTACGGCTGGCAACGCTTTACGAGATAGTTACCCACATGTACATCTGACCGTTAGAAACCGAATTTCAGATTGATATTATGCGGCTTTACTGCTGGCCTAATGGTCATATTCCTCATCGCCAACAGGTCTACTTCAATCACATATTTTCAGACCTTCTATTGACCTCAAATGCCTCTACGATCCATGAGCAATTCCCACTCAAGAAGACGTTTCATCTGACTCTCTGTTTTAGGTCATTTTATGAAACCAAGACAGGCGTCGTCTATGAACACGGGTTCTTCTGACAGTTTTGTATTTTGTCAGACCTTTAGTTGTCAGCAGTTGCTCATTGGTAGCATTGCACTCTGAGGATACATCATAAATTGCGTTGCTGAAAACTGTCGTGATAAACTCATAATGTTTCATGGCAGCTGACTTTTTCACTGTCTGCAGGGGCAGGGGAAGTATTTTAAAAGGTCAGCTTTTAACGCCGGAAATAGTGGGTTCGAGCACCGGGAAAGGTAAAGTGTCTCTTAACAGCCAGTTCTCTTCAGTAACGAATGCACACCATATTGCTTGAGTGAATCAAGCCTAGAAACGGGTAGCAAGTCGTTGACCCTTAGGCACTAGGAACAGCACCACGTTCTGGTGTGATCATATCAGAATGAACGGTAGGCATTGCCAAGCATTCTGAGGTGAGCACTTCTGAGAGCTGCGACTGACTTCGACTCGCCTGATTGTGCTATCGAGTGTGATAATTAACAGAAGGTACAAAAGCCCCATTGGTGCTCGTACACCACCATCGCGAATGGGTCAACTTCCAGGATAATGGTTTGTATAGACCCTCTTATAATTATATTAACCTGTGTTATACAAGCAACAACATCGTTGACCGACTCTCTTGGTAGCTCATTAAAAACGCTTATGTTTTGCCAAAAGTCGCACTGTTATTCCAAGTTTCGGCAAAGTTTAAGTCGAACGCAGCAGCAACGACGCCAAGGCATTAGAGGTGATCGTCATGCTCATGCGTGTTCGCGCATTCCTGCTGGCCGGGGCTTTCGCATTCGCTTGACCTTGTTCGTTTTCTTTCCGAAATTAATGGGGTCACTCTTCCGGCCAGAATTATGTGCGAAAGTCAGGCGTTCACTGGGTTTATGTGCCATCCACAAGCCGTCGATGCGCGTCACACTTGCGGCCTGCGTCAACATCGTTTCGTCGCCCAGCACTGGTTTTTGTCGTTTAATTATCACCGGTCGAGTATGATGTACATCGCAGCAATCGATGGTTGCCGCGAAGCGCGCCGCGCGGTGCCAGCGTCTTAAACAACCAGAAGAAGCGCCGCTGTGTCCTTTCGCAGAACACCTACATTCTACAATCTTGGGTCGCTTACAGAGGCTGCTGCCCATTCGATCGTTGCACGGCGCCGACCACCGACCACCAGTGGTCACACAATCGTAG